GTCCTGAAAACTGTGATTCCTACGTAAATCAGTCAGCTTTAACACCCAATTAAATCCTGTATCAAATGGTTCCTAGCAGTAGACAGTATAATAATGGTGGTCCACCAAATCGTCATACATTACATTGCCCTCACAACTGACTAAAAACCTTACAGTTCTAGATCTGATGACCCAAGAATTTCTGACAGCTTTGATTTAGGCCTCATTTAGATATACACTACTGTCTTACCCCAGGGGATCAGAGTTACCTCTTTACCTGTACAGGTACTACTACCCCAGGGGATCATAGTTACCCCTTTACCTGTATAAGTACTACTACCCCAGGGGATCAGAGTTACCTCTTTACCTGTACAGGTACTCCTACCCCAGGGGATCAGAGTTACCCCTTTACCTGTATAAGTACTACTACCCCAGGGGATCAGAGTTACCCCTTTACCTGTACAGGTACTACTACCCCAGGGGAACAGAGTTACCTCTTTACCTGTACAATATACTACTACCCCAGGGGACCAGAGTTACCCATTTACCTGTACAGGTACTCCTACCCCAGGGGATCAGAGTTACCCCTTTCCCTGTACAGGTACTACTACCCCAGGGGATCATAGTTACCCCTTTACCTGTATAAGTACTACTACCCCAGGGGATCAGAGTTACCCCTTTACCTGTACAATGTACTACTACCCCAGGGGATCAGAGTTACCTCTTTACCTGTACAATGTACTACTACCCCAGGGGACCAGAGTTACCCATTTACCTGTACAGGTACTACTACCCCAGGGGAACAGAGTTACCTCTTTACCTGTACAATGTACTACTACCCCAGGGGATCAGAGTTAACCCTTTACCTGTACAGGTACTACTACCCCAGCGGATCAGAGTTACCCCTTTACCTGTACAATGTACTACTACCCCAGGGGATCAGAGTTAACCCTTTACCTGTACAGGTACTACCCCAGGGGATCAGAGTTAGCCCTTTACCTGTACAGCTGTTCTGGTGGTCATACAATCTTACTTATATATCACTACCAGTCTACTCTCAAAACAACAAAACATATTCTTGTCATGTACAGGACAAGTACAGGTAACATCATATTTTTGAAATTTATTTGATTAATTTGATATTTGATATTTGATATTTGATAATTAATGATGACAAAATAATTGTGAAACAATTCAGAGCAACATGTTCTTTTTTCAATACACAACAGATATTATGGTATGTATATGACAATAGCAATGATTACAAATTTTAACACTATGTAATATAAAACAACTGTTTCAAAAGAAAGAATCAAAACCAACACAGTACTAAATATGATACCAAGTGCAGAGGGCCTTTTTTATATAATTTTGATGTGACTGTTGGACAAAACAATGTCTGTATAGGATTAGAATAAGGACTTAAACTTATAGGATATCAGGTCATTTTAGTCCTTATCCTAATACTATTACATCACAATTACTGTAAGCAATCAAATTATACCAAGTCATATAACCAGGTTTTCACAGGCATATATTATGAAATATTGTGTCAGGTTTTTCACTACCAAGATACCATATGCTAGACTAGAGGTATACGGACACACACAACAGATGTCATCACCAGATTGTCAGTGCCCAAAATATTTACACTTTAACTCTGTATCACTGTTGGCCTATATGGTTATCCAAGGTGTCTGACAACTCAACAAAGAATATCTGTCCTAGCCGACTGCCATTCAAAAACACCCAATGCACTGTTCCTGACAACTCTCACAAATACAGTAACACTCTGCAGGACTTGGCTGTCCCCCACACCATTGTGTTCAGGACTGTCCATTACCTGGAGAGCTAATGGTCAATAAGTGTCCAGCTGTCCAGAGCTGTGATGGATGGGCCTTAATTAGGTCCAATGTGGTGACCACCAGTCCATTACCATCATCAGGTCAAAGCTGGTACAAATGGCCCTGGACATCATATCGACACCATATAGGGTATATCACAACCAGCTGGCTAGGACATCACGACCCAAACTCCATATAGGGTATATCACAACCAGCTGGCTAGGAAATCAGGACCCATACATCATATAGAGTATATCACAACCTGCTGGGTAGGGCATCCCGACCCATACTCCATATAGGGTATATCACAACCAGCTGGCTAGGACATCACAACCCATACTCCATATAGGGTATATCACAACCAGCTGGCTAGGAAATCATGACCCATACATCATATAGAGTATATCACAACCTGCTGGGTAGGGCATCACGACCCATACTCCATATAGGGTATATCACAACCAGCTGGCTAGGAAATCATGACCCATACATCATATAGAGTATATCACAACCTGCTGGGTAGGGCATCACGACCCATACTCCATATAGGGTATATCACAACCAGCTGGGTAGGACATCATGACCCATACTCCATATAGGGTACATCACAACCAGCTGGCTAGGACATCACGACCCATACTCCATATAGGGTACATCACAACCAGCTGGCTAGGGCAACATTAGTCCGAATTATTCTGACGTTTTGTCGACTTTTTTTATATATTGGTCTTTCGTCGATTAACGTCAGAACTCCGGCCCTCTATAATATGCGGGAAATATGCTACCTGTGCCAGGGTCGCTCTTCAAACTGATATTTTAGAAACAAATCGTCACTTTTACACACATGTCGCACATGGATCGAAAGATCTATTCTTTATGCACAAGATGAACATACATAACATGCCTCAAACAACCAATACAATCACTTAAAACATATTTTTTCAAGCTTACTCTGTTTTACTTCACCTTTTTGATAGCCCCACCTTCTAATGCCACGTGACTAAAATCTCGACAACCTACGTCATAACTATGTACCTTCGGTAATGCGAGATCTCGTCAAGTCATGTGACATGGCTCTTGCCCTAATTTCCATCAAAAACATGGGTTGGTATAGAAAACGTTGGAAAATACTGTTCGTAATGATCTTTGAAACATGATATATATATTGATACCACCTAGTGCATAAAGAATAGATCTTTCGATCCATGTGCGACATGTGTGTGAAAGTGACGATTTGTTTCAAAAATATCAGTTTGACCTGCATATGATAGAGGGCCGGAGTTCTGACGTTAATCGACGGCAGACCGATATAAAAAAAGTCGATAAAACGTCAGAATAATTCGGACCAGGGCAACATGACCAAAACATGACACCATATAGTGTGCATTACATTCAGCTCGAGTCTTCACCATGTTACTACACAATACCAAAAGCATATCACTTCCAGAAACAGTCAATTGTTTTCTTGTAATTAATACAAACTCACATGAAATGCTTTGAAAATGGTTGTCATTTAGGAATCCCTGGAAATCACTTATTGAAGCAATAGTCATGCTGATAACATAGTTTTTGGTTGTGGACCCTTAAAGCTTCTTCTGTACAACTACCATCACACAGTTCGTTTTCACTGAATTTGAGGATTTTGTAAAAAAAAAAATGTATACCTCTTCTAGATCATTCAAACCAGTAAACTAGAGACTCTTTTGAAACTAAGAGTTTTTTGGTCATTTCTTGTATGAAGTATGAAATTAAGAAATTAATCTGTATTAAAATCATGTAAATGTGTAGACAACAGAAAATTCCATTCTTTCATCTGTTTTGCCTTTGTTAGATAAACGACATTTCATAATAAAATTTGCATGATGCCCTGAGGGAAAGGTGAAAAAAAGGAAATCACTGACAAACCCTTAATACATTATTAAAGACCTTGATAAATCGTATTGAAATATGTTGGGAATGAAATTGAATCCCCAGCATTCTTGACAGATCTATAAATCGTCAGCACTACACAATGGGATGTACCACAGATTATCTCTATCAATGGGTTTTAGGTGCACACTCAATACTATCAATTGACCTGCAAGTGAAAAGAGATCAGACAAAAACCCCTTCTATCACCAGTCTAAACCTGATCCCAGACAAAACCCTCGTACCCAAGCTAGCCCTTCAGACAAAAACAAACCCTAAACACTTCAGAATACCACGAACACAATCCCTGCCAGGTAACAATGCCTAGACGTTTTCAATGGGTTCATCATGAGATTAATGCCGAATTAAATACCAGTGATTTGTTTATCTGAGGCATGATCTTCAGCCGACTTTCACAATTCCGATCAGTTAGTTTTTGTTATGACATCATTATTCCTGCACCCCACTTTGGCACATAATGTCTGCCATTATACTTGTCTATTTCTGTGTAATTATATGTGAAAACCCTTTACACTTGTCAGGAAAATTCCATTCTCCTGTTACATTACACATTTGATTTTCCTCCTAAACAAAGTAATCTCCCCCCCCCCCCTTCCAAAAAAAACAAAAGAAGAAGTAAACTGAACTTTAATCTAATTTCACATGGACTTCTGTCACTTTCAATTCCAGGGTCTCCTGTAACATACTTGTATTAAATAAAGGACTTTCAAGAAACATTGACAATATAATGCCATAAACATAAATATATTAACAAGAAGTTAAAATCCAAGCACCAATCAACTGCCCAATCTTTAGACTTAGCTGAGACACCTTTAACTTGTCTTCTTGTATTAGTAGTGGTTGACCCCTGCTTGAAGTGCTGTCAGAATAATTGTAAATCTACATAATAAAACACTAATTAGAAAACATTTAAAAAAAAAATGTTTCTGAGAAATCTCATCAGAAACACTTTCATTTGAATCCACCAAAACTCCTTTGATCAGAAGAACATTCTAACACCTGAATTCCATGCGTCTCAATAAGATGGCTATGGACAACCTTCCTGTAATGATGGCATGGTGTTATTGGCGGACAACTCCAATGTTACCAACATTAGGGGAAGAAGATGTGCTGTCCAATCCCATCAGTATGCTGGCCATCAGTTTTACAGATTCCCACAGGTAAACCATTGTGGAAGACCTTCAGCATGTATGATGTTCCATTTAGCAGAACATTCCACTACAGATAGAGCACTCCAGTGTTACTTACCATTGTGGAAGACCTTTCGTTGGCGTATGAGGGTACCCAGTGTATCATAGAGGACCTGCACACCTGGTGACTGGAGGTCACAGAAACACTGTGTGAGGCGTGTGTGGATGATGTCCAGTGTGGCCATCACCTGTTTACTGTTCAGGTCAAGGATCACAAGACACAGGATCTCTGGAAGTGGTATAAACTGGGTCTGCGGAATCACCTGCATCTTAATACCGCCAACATCTCCTGTAAATAATACGTAGAAAGCGGGTCAATTTCTGTACAATCTATGACATCATTGGCAAAGTTCATTACACTCTGTGATCCTGATCTTTGAAAGGGAGACGAAATATTATTAGTTAATCAATAAAAAGGTACAAAGTAAACAGAGGACAAAAATTCCTTTTCTCTGCAATTCAGCATCATTGCCTCAAAGTTACATCGCCATGTCAGCTTATATTATATTCTAGTTCTACACTGCATTACATTAAATAATCTTACTATTTTAAGATATTTCCTTTATAATTTCAATGTTCCTTAACCCATTCACCCCTAAAGTCACATCCAAACCTTACCAAACCAAAGTCTGGGCAAGTCTAATTTTAAGATGTAGAGGTGAATGAGTTAAATTTAAAACTGAAACTTTTTGACCTCTTGTATTGGAAAATATGAGATAACATTAGGAAAATGCAGCTTTTATCCTCTAGGGGAAAGGTGTATCACTGACCACAGAAATAAATTGTATAAATAAAATCCTTTATGATTCTTGTAATTTAATGAATGTGTTCACATTGAAGAAGTGTATCACACAGGAAAGTGAGACAACAACACACTAAAAAACTTCATGTGTGTGGTTTCATATTTATAATTATTAGTTGGAGGGAATAATTTCCATGTCTCTATAACTGAATTTGGGTGAATGTGTGGTTCAGTATTATATAATTACAGCTGTATTTGTTATCAATATCATAATGGCCTTCAAAAAACTGCTTTTACGAAGTATCAATAGCTGTTGAAATATGAAAAAAAGCAATTTTTTGGCATCTCAAATAAACAAAAAACTATTAACACTGATTTATATTTTTATCTGCAGTCCATATCAGAAACCAATACAGACATGTTTTCATATCAGCACTGAAAAAATTGTAATTAGTTTCTTTTTTTAATTCCATCGACATGGACATCAATGTATACACTGGCAAGCATGAAAGGATGGCTCAAGTCAGAGCAGACATCCTGAATACCGAGGCAGAATTCAATTACTTGTACTGAAGATCAATACACACATTTTATCTCCTTTTTACTTTCAACACTGACACATAAAATTTATCACAAACATTTTACGTTCTAAATGTACATTCCCTGTATGGTCTATTGGCAAACCTGGAATCTTAAATACAATCTACAAGTAAATCTGGGGCCAGGTCAAGTTACCTGACCAGGTACCTCAGGTGAGAGATAAGGCAGCTTTATACACCCAATCCAATTACACCACAATACCTCAAACTAATTTCATGATAATGAAATTCATAATAAGAGATTTTAATCATTTATTCTTTAATTCAACCCCAGGTTGCCACTCTCCATTGTTCAGTCACAGATTACAGTCAGGAACCTGGTTTACTAATTGACAAGTCAAATTTCACACACAGCTTTTCTAGTGCGGCATCTTGCAAAGAGATTTTAACGTATTAAGCTTGATATTAGATATTCTGTATGTGTAAGATTACATACTTCAGCTCTCTAAATCTCCCTAATCCCCGCTGTAAGGTTGGGGCACAAGGGACGTCAGTAGTACCATGTCACTTTGATACTGTCAAGTCGGGAACGGCTCAATATATTGTGGCCCAATTTATTATTGCACAAACATTGAGGATATTTAACGCGGAGTGGAAATATTCATTATATGCACTTCAGGCTTGTAGGATATTACTTGCAGTATATTTACATAGTCAATAATAAATACATTTGCATAAAACACTGGAGTCATGATAGCCTGATAAAAATGTGTATATCCATTTTCAGTTTATGATAAACTCAAGTACATGAACAGGGTATAACATATCTGTGTTGTGTCTGCTTTTTTCAGACAACAACATACCGGTACATTTGGCAATGTGAAATAGCATAAGAACCTTAGGTATGTCCCATACAGTTTCAATGATTGTGATCAGAGGTCAAACATCAGTCACAGTGACCTATTTTATATGCTGCACTCTTCAATCCTAAAACAAATTTTAGAGATCTATACAATTATTATTATGTATTCTGAGTATGAAAGGTTAATTCAAGTCAAATAGTACTCTCTAGTGGAAATACACTCTGGAAACTGGTTCAGTGGTTAGGGCAAGACAGTAAACATTTATTTCTGACAAGGTCTCGTCCTTACCTGCACAATGCAGGATATTACAGTTCAGCTTTACTGAATGTAACATATGTAAAAATATTTGTGGTTTTATACATTTCTGCTTGACATCACACAAATTGATATTTATTTTTTCAATGAATATTCAATTCACAAAATAGAAGAGTAAAAATCTCAACAGTTAAATGTTTGTTTATTATATCTAGTAAAAACCTCATTTGAATATTTAAGCTAAAAAGTTTACTTAGCATATTACAAATACATAACAGCAGTAATACTGTGTGAATACTACCATTGACGATAAAAACAAATTCCCAATGCAAAAACTGTAGTCACAAAATGGACTTTCAACTCACAGTCAGTATAAAAACTATGATTTGCAAAGGTACAGCTAATAATGAGCAAATCATACCCAAAAAATTCTTAAAATATCAATATAACAAAAAACACAAGAAAAACTAGAAACTAAGAGTACTACAGTATGTGAGCCCACTCACATGTGTATCTATCAATCTATCAGATTGTGCACTCTTGACAAGACATATATACTGTACATAAATCAATGTATGCTGTTTTGTATATCTGTTGAATGCCCTATATAATCCTTATCAAAGTTACATGCTGTCACTCAAAATAGTCATGGATAGGTCTGTATAGACAGCCCTTCAAATCCTTCTATATAAAAAGATCAGCCTTGATATCAATACCTGCAGCCAGTTATTTTATACCACGTCAAATTAACCAAGATTTAATGCAAATGTTTCATTTATGTATGGTTTTAATAATACCGAGATTTAAAACAAACTCAATGTATATTGGATAAAAAAGAATACTTAAAGGCAAGAAAACTACCACAAAATATTGATATATATACCTTTTAAATGGTTCTTACTGATATATATCACACTGAAAAGTTATGATAATGGTTTGTTAAGCTAACTAGGCTTTGTGTCAGTATTGATCACATATGAAATTACTAATTCTATAGGGAGGACTTGCCCTCTGCTACACAACCTGTGTAACTGTTCACAGAGGATTGGGGGAGGGACCTTGTGCCAAGTTTCTTCATTAACCACATTGATATTCTTTATCATAACAGGACATAAAAAAACCAGTTTGGCCACTTGGCCTTCACCTCAAAAATTCAATTTGAATATGTTTGATGAAAAATTAGTTGAGCAAAATACTTCAGAGATATCTTTGTTATTTTTCATAATAACATCAATAGGGTGTGTACAGCAGGAGCATGTCTATCAGAAAATTCTTTGCAAATAGATACACCCTTTCGCAACAATATAGTAACAATCTGAAACTCCAACCCATTATTTATGTATTCTGAAACTCCACATCTGGTCACCATAGTAACTATTGAACCTCATATTTCATCTCTATTAGTATCAGAAATAAGCCCATGCCTATAGCTATATATAAGTATTAATATAAATAAAACACCAAGACTAGTATAATCGGCTAGCGCTTTCGCCCATCTTGGGGCTCTTCAGGCGATTTTAATTTATTTGTATTAATTGTCGTATTAACATATCAGCCCATCCATATGTATTTCAGTGCTTCTGGAATACTAACCAATGCCAATTTTATTGTCCTGTTATAAAACCAACCCCTATGTTCAGTCAGAGAATATGTGTTGCCCTTCAGGGCTTATTGCAGGATAATTATAGTAGCTCTTTGGCACTCATGCTCGTGAATTAAGTGAAATAGATCTGTTGGGATGTCTTTGGTCAGCTTTGAAAATATGAAATTCATCAACACCTGTACAAAGATATATACATCAGACAGGCAATCTCGTTCCACTAGATCCGTGTAATACATCCAAGGCACTCTCACAGACTGCATTACTCACATGACCTGAAAACAACCTGCACCTGTAAGAGCCTACAGAGTGATTCTTGTATTTAATAAACTTTTGTTTGAAGCAAAAAAAGAAAGGATTATTTGCACAAAGAAAATTGTGCATGTAGGTTTGCACCTGTGAAGTTCACTGACTAAAGTGCTTGTGTAATTAAGCACATTGGTATTTATAGAGAGTATCGTAGACCAAACAATGCTGTAGAGCTTTTATAGAGAGTATCGTAGACCAGACAATGGTGTAGAGCTACGACAGACCTTATTTATAAAGAGTATCGTAGACCACACAATGCTGTAGAGCTCTGACAGACCTTATTTATAGAGCATCATAGACCAGACAATGGGGAAGAGCTACAACAGACCTTAGTTATAGAGAGTATCGTAGAGGGGGCAATGGTGTAGAGCTATGACAGACCTTATTTATAAAGAGAATCGTAGACCAGACAATGCTGTAGAGCTTCGACAGACCTTATTTATAGAGTATCATAGACCAGACAATGGAGTAGAGCTACGACAGGCCTTATTTATAGAGAGTATCATAGGCCAGACAATGGTGTAGAGCTCTGACAGACATTATTTATAGAGAGTATCGTAGACCAGACAATGCTGTAGAGCTACGACAGACCTTATTTATAGAGAGTATCAACATGCCCTTCCTCCAATTTCTATACATGTATCGTTTTTCTTAAAAGACATCCTTTTTCATATTATATTAAATCATCAGATGTTTGTGCCGAAGGTGGACATCCTGTCCATACACCATTGACAATGCATGCATGAAGCTCAAGCTGACACCCACTTAAATAAGACCAATGCAGGCTAGAAGTATTCATGGTTACTGTACTGGAAACAGTAAATAAATAAAAAGGATTAGTAGGCCGCAGCAATAAGCTTTCTGGGTAGATGGGGGGCAAACATTTACTTTTTACACTGCCTAGTCATAATGGCAGTTTGAAAATAAATTTGGGAGGTCAGAGCAGGTATAATAAGGTGATATATGAATTAATCAAAAAGC